ATTTTTCACCTACTGGCCTCATTGTCCTTATGTTTGCTAAACACATCGGGTAAAGAGAAATACATGAAACTGGTCATCGCCTTGCTTATCCTCCTTTCAAGAGTTCTCCAAAATACATGTAACGGGGCCATATTAACATATTAACAAGGTGATCTACGAATTTGTACGCACGGTTGAAGTGTACTGTATGTTTGTCATTAATGAGATAGCAACTGTTGTGAAGGAAAAAACCCACCCAAACCCAAACCAAAGCCCCAAACCAGTGGGTTACGAGAATAAACCACCACCAGTGACAACAACAAAATTCTATGGCCTAGTGACTAAGGAAATCACAAGACCAAATTTTATACGAGTCCATAGAGAAACCCAAAGAGAAAAGACTCCCAACAGCCTCCAATCCCATTTCCTTCACTGTAGGGTATGTTCATACGAACGGTATTGACAACCTGGAGTTGGCCGACTTTTCCTGATTTTATGCTTTGACTTGCACTCCAGCCTACATTTTGCTCCCCACTCAGCTTTCAAGACTGGACAGGTAGAATTCTTTGGGCATTACTCACTTTTCAAAAGCCACTCAGCTATGCGCATATCTGCTGCAAAGTGTAGCACACTAACCTTGCCTTGCTACAGGCTCCTCCGGAGACAGATTCCCCTGTCAGCTTTGTTCAGCAACCCAAAATGTAATCAAGTAACCACTCCACTGTAGAGGGAAGAAAGGGAAGGATTTCAGGGCTGAGCACAATGGTGATGCCATGGGAAAATTCCAAGAATTCCGTGATCCACGGTCCTCACCCCTGGTTGCACCCCTGTCCCACTAATCTTTCAGATTAGTTCAGCCTAGTGAAAACTAATAACATATAAAGCAAGTAATAATAGTCATCGTCCATCTTTCTTTCATGTGCTTTTTGCTCACTCTGCAGGTCCTGATTTAGCCAAGCTGAATTCTCAAAAAGCCCCACCAACTGCCTCCTGGGGCTGATTCATTTAGTGCTCATTTACGGAAAGGAAGTAACTGATAAGAATCCAGCCGCTAAAAAAGCCATTATTTGTTCATAGATGGTATGGAATGGGTTGGTTAGATAGTTTCTCTTTCTCAAGGATCATGGATTCAATTCCTCAATGAAACACTCTTATTTCTCTTCGCTTTTCTTTCATTGTGTTTACAAATGTCGAAATATGATAGAAACTCACACTAGCCACTCTCAGAAGATTTTTTCATAATTTAGCATTACTTATGAGTTTAATTTCTTCCTGAGAGGGGAAGTTCTTTATTTCAGACGTCTTAATATTTTTCAAAAATGTAGGTGGGTCTTACTACAAGGCGAACTAAAATTGTCGGCAGTATTTGATAGAAAATATTCTGATGATTCCTTTTCCAGTTTAAATTAAAAGTATGGCTACCAGGAAAAAAAAAAAAAAAAGAATCACTTTTCTCCTTGCTGCATAAAAATAGGTCAAGTAATTTAAGCCAGTCCATTGCAATTAAAATTCTGACATTGCCATTGTTCCTTCTATTCTAGAGGGAAAAGACAAACAGAACCCATGATAATAGGGGTTCATTGGCTAAGTCATTTGATGTGCTACCTATTGTTCTTCTGTGGAGGCTCAGCCTCAACCTGCCTGGGAGCGCTGATTTGGATGAGAGCAGTACAGTACCAAACTGATAAATACCAGATCTCAAGCACGAGTTTCTGAAGAGGTGTAATACGGCTTTCATGCTAGCAAAACAATACCATTGCAGAGAAAAAAATTGCCAATGGCATGGGTCCTAAATTCCTTGAATTCTAAATTTATTTATTTTTGGGGGACAATGTTATCTGCCCGGTTTATTTTAAAGTAAATTTTCCTGACTCAATTAGACAGCAACACTCATCCTCATTAAAGATCCTGCAGTCCTTTCACAAGATTAGGGCCCGGTGGCTTGGTCACATTCCAATGTGGATAATTACATTCTGCATTCCTGGATATTTCCCTCCACCTTTCCAACCTCATACCGTCAAATGCATCGTTATCTACCCTTCCTGCAAATCAACAGTCCTGTTGTGGGGTGCAGAGGATTTGCCGTCGCCTCATGGTTTACAGGCTAAAGCATTGGCCCAAACCACTGCTCATTACACTTTTAAAAGAAAATCCCTTAGGTAATGCGTATTTTCAAATAAGAGGCAAATCTCAACGATGCACACTTAATCATAGGTTTAGCTTTTCGGTAAATAAAATATTCGTATTTTATAAAGGATGTTTATTTTGGAATCTTCTTTGGTTAAAAAAATATGTTGCTCGAATATGTGCTGTTTGCTCAAAGGAGAAAACAAAGTCTTCAGAAATGGCAACAAAACAAACAATAAAGAGAAAAACCTCTTGAGGAAATAGCTTTTCATTGACCTTCCAAATAAATTCCACAAGGGGGCGAAAACACCTAATGGTCTGGGGACTGCAAAGTTTATATTTCAGGGCTGGCCACCCATAATAGATTAGTGGATTAATATTTTTCTCTAAAGGATCTGGCCTTTAATGTTGACATCAATTTATAGCCATCCCAGGCGTTTACAGTAGTAAAAGTCATGGAGACCATAAACTTCACAATAGATGTCAGCCTTCTGCTACTAGTGCTCTAGCCCAGCACCCCCATAAACAGTGGTGATTAGGTAACCGTTCTTCAAAGACCCATCCATAGCTCTAACATCTTTATCAGCTCCTGCAAAGATACTGTCACAAGGATTTTATCAGGCACAAGACAGAGGTACACGTTTTTATTAATGTGGACTTGTTTTTCTGACATGTAGCTATGAGGTTGTGCTGTGGCTTATCATTGATCTCTTCTTGAAAAATCAAGCATGGAGTGTCTATTTTTGGGCAAAGCTTAAAGAACAGAAGCTCTCTTGTATCATATTAGAACTTTTTGACAAACAGCCAAGGTACAGAGGTCAAATTTCCCCATATGCTATAAGCAACTTAGTAGGAAGCAAGACCACAAAAGGTTTTGCAAATGTCTGCCAGTAGCCGGGTGATCTAGGTCACTGTACAGGTTTCATTAATCAGGTTGTTCAAACAAGGAGTTATTTTTCTCTGCTTAAGAGACCTGCAGATATCACATAGAATCTGCTCAATTGTTGATCAAGAAAGAGTTTTTAAATGAAACAGAGATCATTCAAGTGAATGGGGGTGGGGGAGCATTTGTATTTGCACTGAAGACAAATTGTGCTTTTTAGCCCAGCTCGTCTGTTTGAGTCCTCTGTTCTGGTAGGGATGGGCTCAAGCTCTAAGAATAGTTCCTCAGGCTCTGCAGCTCCACATACGGGTTCCGGCGTTTGAGCAGCAGGAGGAATTTAGTGACAGAGCAGGTGCTGTGGCTTATTCCCTGGCAGAATAAATGGTGAAGGGTGGTGGCAAGACAATTCTTTTGCTTCTTTATGCAAAAAACAATGCCTTTAATCGCTTTCGTTTTTTCCTGGCACTAGTGAAAAAGGACTGGAATTGCTGGATTAATACGTATGCAAACATATTTTTTCACTTGAACCTCTGGAAAAAATAAAAAAAGAAAAACTTACTGTGAAAATGCTTAGCCAGAAAGATTTACTGCTGATTGCAGATTTAGTATTGACATGTCTTAGCTGAAGAAAACTTCAGCTTTAACTATTAATGTGGAAATCTGGATCAGTTTTTAAAGAGGGGTAAAAAGAGTTTTGGATGATTCAGTATATTTTCAGAAATTATTTATTTGAACATAAATTTAAATAAGAAACTGTCAGTTATAGAGGTATTAAAAAAAAAAAAAAACCCAGTGGAGTGTGTACATTTTAATTTTACATGGCCTGCCTTGGAAATAGAATTATAGAATGTAGATCTGAATTCTACTTAAAGCAGCCTTTATGCGCAACTTACTCTCTCAGAATACTTCTAAATACCCACTCCTCCTGATTTCTTATAAAATACGGAATTTAAGATGAGAATCTAAGTCTAAATGTTCTTTTAAAACATTATTTATAAAATTTTTCTCAATCTACATTTTTTACTTCCCCTAGTAAGTTACGTCCAGAAGTCTGCATTCTTTTTTTCTTTAAGGTAGGTGTGTTGCTCTTATAAACATGAGATAAGTCATGAAAACATGAAAGAGAAAACAAGATAAAATTCCTTCTCCTACCTGGGATAACTTGAGATTTTAAAAATATTTCTTTTTCCTTTGCTGGATTATATAAGGCAAAACTTGACACTCACTTAATTGTAGCTGTGGTCTTGGTAAGTCATCTCTCCAGGTAAAATTGAAATTTTTTTAGGTGTTTGTATCCCGTGCATCTAACAGGAAAAGCTCAGAATTCAGGAAAACGGGGCATGCTTGAGAGGGAACATCTTATAAAGATTGTAATTTGACCTTTGAGTCAACCTGAGTACATTTTAAATATTACAGGACAAAATAGAAAGCCTCAAGGCAGAATTCTGCCCCTTCTTCCTCTTAAAACTATAAACCAGTCAGATACTGTTTCAGAGATTACCCTAGAAAATGTGTACCTATCCTTGGCACTTTTGCTGAGAAAACTCTCATTACTGGAGATAAAGGTAGATTTATATTTAATGCCACCCCCATCAATCAATCAGTATATTATTGTAATCTACCTCCATTTAAGTAGTTGAATCAGGTATAAACAGAAACACTTCATTTTTCCCTCCTGCCCATTGTAAAAGATAATGTTGAGTATTGCAAACCTTTCTAACTCTGGAGTACACTTGAATATGATGGCAATTAAGAAAAAAAAAAGCGCTATGACAACTTTGCAGCTTTTGATTAAAGCACACCAAGAGGCATGTTACAATGATAACAATGAAGCATTATGCCAATTATGTTAAATCCTGCTCTCTGCTTAAGCTCATCATGACCTGTTTTAGTGTCCTGTAATTTATCCTTTGGAATGCTTACTCTCATCAATAAAGTGTTCAGCTCAAAGACGAGGGAAAAAAGGCCACCAAAGGGAACCACCACCCCCAAATGACTTCTAGAAAGCGAGTTATTTCTTAACTTTTTATTGACATTGGCAAATTAAAATAGAATAAATTAACAAGTATTTTTTCAAAAAAATGTTTTGTACAAAAATACTGTCAAAATTTCCTAAAAAGCTTTCAACACAGTAGTATCTTTTCATGTACTGAATATAACTATTAGCACAGTGTCAAAAATGTTGAAGACAGAAACAAAATAAAAATCTGTGAAATGTTTGCCACTGACGACATTCCACACCCTATTATCATCTGTACATACAGGGGGGAGGAGGGAGAGACAGCCAACTTGAAAGTGAACAGTATGACTTTTCCTGATCCAGAACAGTTTGGCCCACATCTGTTTAATCTTCCAGTTTAGCATATTTTAAAAATTAGTCTGTACTCAAATGCATAGTTAAAAAAATGAAGCGAGATGGCAGAGTTTGTGCAGTAATATCTGCCCTTCAAAGTTCATGCAACCAACTAATGCAATTTTTCCTTTCACTCGTAAATCTGAATGCAGTTCAGTCATTTGAAACCATCTACAAAATCCACAAGATTAAGCAGTTTGCCAAGATTAATATCTAACAGTTGAGCACTGAAGAAAGTGAGGGAAAGGAGTAAAAACAAACAACGAAAAAGACCAAGTTAGCTAGATATTTCAACTACATAAGGGAGGTGAATGTCAAGGCTGCAAAAACGAAACAAAAACAGGAAAAAAAAAAAAAAGTGGCAGCAATTTTTTTTTTAAACCAATTTGTACAAGTTTATAGTTTACTTTGTTTCCAAGTTCTCAAACCTTTCAAGATCTGAAAAGTGAGATACTGTGTCTAAGGGAATGTTTCTTTTAATTCACACCGAAGAAGTTGGGGGGTTTGATTTCTTTCGCCGGGGTTTCGATCGAGTCAACAGCTCACTCTGCTGGGCTGCTGTTTGCACACGAAGTCCGTCATAAAATCAAACTCGTTTTGCCCCAGCCAGAGTTCGGGCAGCTCCTTGATGCGGTCCAAACCCATTTCTATCACCAAGGACATAAGAACTTCCTCGTCGATGAAATCAGTGTCTATGACATTGGGCGGCAGCATTGCAGCAGGGACGTGGGCCACGGAGGCGGGCATGTTGCTGCCGCCGCTGCCGCCGCTGCCGCCGCCGCTGTTGCTGCTGCCCGCGCCGCCGCCCGAGCTGCCGCCCGAGCCGCCGGGGGTGCCGCTGCCGCCGGAGCCTCCGGGGGTGCCGCTGCCGCCGCTGTGCTTGGGGTTGCAATCTCGGAAGTGCTGGTTTGTCCCGTTCATCTGGTGGCCTGCAGCAGGGTGCAAATCCGGCATGTAGTGGTTGTGGGGGTAGGGGTGATGGTTGAAATACTGGTTGTTGAGCTTCTGCAGCTGCATGCTGGCCGGCAGGGAGCCTCCCTGGCTGGCCACCGGGGGGGCCATGAACTGGGAGTTGTTAAACCTGGCCGCGGGGGCCAGTGCGCTCGGGGGGTGCCCTCCGTTCACAGTCCCCGGCCCCATGGCGTGCCTGATGCCGCTCGTGGCATTCATGTTGCCCGCGCCGTAGTGTATGTGCTCGCCCATCAGGGCGTTGAAGGCGTGCTGGGGCTGCTGCTGCTGGTGGTGATGGGGGCTTGGGAACTGCCCCATGCCCATGCGGTGGGCAGGGTGGTGGTGCAGCCCATTGGTGCCGTCGGGGAAGCGCCCGTGGTTCATGGCCATCATATGGTCTGCCATTTCCAGTCCTGGAAGTGAAAAGGACAGACGATGAGACCCGCGCCACACGTGTCGCCCACCACAGCGCACCCCACTGTTGCCCGCCTCTGCTCCCCAAGATTCTCGGGCGCACGTCGGCTGCGAACCACCACCCCCAAGATCCCACTAGCAGACTGTGCACCCGGGCTCGCCACCACGGAGGACCTGCCACTCGAAACACAGCCGGGCACTGCACAAACAGCCCCTTCCCCTGCGATCGGGCGGGGGGACCCGAGCCCACACCCCCCTCTGCTCCCCGAAGTGGCCTAATAAAGGAAGTGCCCCGTCGCCCTGCCGCGAACTTCAGGCATTGAATCAGCCCTCCTCATCCTGTTGTTGCACATCCTGTTGTTATTCCCCAGCTTCGCCTCACGCTCTTCCTCCGGGCAAACCCTGCCCTCGGAGGACTGGGCTGGCAGGAGCCCCGGGCAGCTTCGCCCGTCGCGCTTACCTTCCGTTTTTGCGATTTCTGCTCCGAAGACCGAGGGCGGGATCGTCGGGTCCAGGACCGGCTCAGCAGCACATAGAGGGGGCCTTTCTGGCGTTGCAGGGCGCTTCGCTGTCGCGATGTCGGCGCCGAGGTCTCGCAGCGGCCGCTGGGGCAGATTCGGAGCCGTTCCCTTTGATTTCCCCTCCGCTGCCCTCACAGCTCGGTAGGAGCGCCCGGCAGCTGCCAACAATGAGCTGTGTTTCTTCGGGCTTTGGCCACGGCTAATATAGCATTTCTGAAGGGCGGAGCGAGAACCTCCAGGGCGGGCGGCGCCAAGACGCGGATTCCGGAACGCCACGGACACCTGGACCGGGTCCGGGAGCCGCGTCCCCGCTGCCCGCGGCACGTGCGCAGAGACTGCGGGGCCCGGTGCCGCCCCGTCGCCCCCCGGCTCTGGTTTCTTCCCGGCCCAGAAACGGGAGGTCGGCTCAGCCACCCCCAGGGCAGGGGGGAAGTCCTCCCCGGCCGCCCCGCCCGAAGGCAGCGCCTGCCCGGAGAGGAACGAGTAGAGCTCACCGCCCGCCTCTGGCCGGATCTCCCCACCCCCAGCTCTCTCTGCTCACCTAGCGATCTGTCTGGCCCTCTACGGGAAAAGGGGACTCGCCCAGCGCCCCCGCCCTCCGGAGTGCCCTTCTGCCTCCCCGGCTTTGCAAAAGCTTCCCCAGGCTGCGAAGAATGGCTGTGCTTCCTCGAGTTGGGTTTTAAAGACCCGGACAAATAATGCGCCCTTTCCTGAGCGCGCTTTCCTGGACTGTGCCTTTGTGTTTTCGTAAGAGCAGTGGGTAGACCTACTCTGGATCACCGCGTGTAGGTACCTTTTTTTTTTTTCCCTCCACTCCTTTCAAGGACAGGAGCTGGGGGCGGGGAGCGGCAGCGGCTGCAGGTGGACCGAGCGCGCTCGCGGGCCCGGCCACCCCAGATCCCGCACCCCGGAAAACTCCAGTCCGCGCTTTTGGGCCCGCCCGCCGCTCCCGGGGTACGTGTGCTTCTGCTAAGTTTGCGTTTGCTGCTTTGGTAGCTTTGGCATCCGAGCTGAGGCGTCTCTGCTCTGTAAACAAACTCAGCGATCCTCGTCCCCAGATCCACCTTTTTGCACATACACAGTTAACTTGCTTCTGCTGTTGCCCTGGATCCGGGAGGTGGGGGTGTGTGCTAACTTGCACAGCCTCCCTCTGGGCTCTGCTTGACGGTTTGGGGTTGATTTAGAAGCAAGCGGGTTTGTAATTAAGAAAATCGAGGGCTGAGTAAGGCTGCTGTTGCTGGAAAAGGAAAACAAATAGATAACATGGTAATCACTTTGTAAATAAAGTCGTTCCGGAGGTGGGCACGTAGCTGCACGTCCCGTATGGCACCACGCGCACACACACGGCTGGGACTCTTCCTTTTCGGTGAAACTGTTCAGTGGGGCAATAGGCGATAATAATAACCTTGCTTCCAGAACGCGGCACACGGAGGCTGGTCGCCCGTTTGGTTCATTGATTTGCAAATAAAATCCTTAACGCAGGTCTGGGCTGCTACCCCGTCGGAGCTCTCTGGCTTTCTCACTTGTGGAAGCCGAGTAGTTTTCCCAACACCATGATGGGGCTGCTCTGAGCTTTTTTATATTGCTCTTTACGTGGTAAAATCGAGTTCAGCGCTCCGAATAAGGACTTCTGGGCAGTTGTTTTTTCATGACTCGATAGCCATTGAGGACTTCCTGCTGCGAAGAGCGAGTCCGCTTCCCCGCCCCCTCGTCGTTTTCCCCCTTCTTGCACACAAGACTTTTTAAGGCCCTATTTCTCGAGGACTGGAAATTCTGATACATTTCTCCGTTCAGGAATTTGCGAAAGAGACGCAATCCTGATTATTTTCGTCTATGAGCCCTCTGTCTTTTCCTAGTGAGGCTTTTTTTTTTACATGTTGTTACTTTTTGTCTCTTCTTTCCTCTTGCAGGCTCTCCAGCAAAGCACGTATGCAAATAATGTTTAAACCTTAAAAATATTTTCTTTTTGGAGATACTGGCCCAGGACATATTGCATCGTTAGTTGCAACAATTCCTTATTCTCCTGACCTCCCACCACCTTTACCTGTAGGTCAGGACATGCAGTTGACTGAATCAGAGGCTTGGGTACCTGAAGCGGCCACTTCCTATCAAAAAATAGATTCTAAAATATTGGTCAACCCCAGCCTCAAAAATTGCGGGATTGTTTACTTCCCTTGTTTATACTGCAAGTGTCTTTCGACACAAGGACAGCTTTTGAATGTCTAATCTAAATTCCTCTTGCAACCACTAAGGAAAGGTGCAGCTCCAACCAGCTCCAGTGGTTCTACATACTATTGGGAAATCCCTGGAAAGGTCATCTGCCCATCCCCCGCACCTTAAAGGAGAACAAAATAGCTCTGGGACCAGCTGCTTAGAACATGGTATGCTTCGTTCATTTATTCTCTTCCATCCATTGACTGTGCTCCGAGTGCCAAATGCTTTCTTGGTGCCGGAGATACAAACAAGATAGGAACTCATGGTCACAGGGAGAAAACTGACAAACAGGCCTTGAACACACTATGATAAATACCACAACAACATTGAAGGGAAGGTCTGTGGAGAGCACACAGGAGGGACACCTACTTCTGTCCTGGGGGCATTGAGAAGGCTTTCCGGTGGAGAGGGTGACTAAGTGGAGCCCTCAGGATGAATGAAGTGTGGTCCTGCTAGGAGTAGGGTAGAAAACGTAAGTCTAAGGAGTTAATGCAAAGAATGAGAGAAACAAGGTTGGAGAGATACACAGGGGCTAGATGCCAAGGGCACTGTGTCCTCAAGCTTAGAAATTTTACTGTAGTATTCCAAAGACAATGGGAGGCAGGTAAAAGCTTGTGAAGCCATGAGATAGGAACAAATTTGGGCTTTAGCAAGATCAAAGCAGGGCTGTGGAGAATAGCTAGAGAAAGTAAGACGGGAAACAGAGTCCAGTTAGGGGGCACTTGCTACCCAGGACTCCCAGAAGTCTCATGTAACCAGGGTTTACTCTGTGAACCTGGGTGAGCGAGCGAGTGGTTTGTTTGTGGCCCTCACAGTGCTGGATGGTTGTATTTGTTTCCCAGAGCTGCCATAGCACAGTGCCATTTCGGTTGGTGAAAAAGTCATTGCGATTTTTGCCATTGAAAGTAATGGCGAAAATCATAATTACTTTTGCACCAATCTAATACAAACTTAAGGCTGATCACCCTTCAAACAACAAAGCCTTATTGTCTCACAGTTCTGGAGGCTGGAAATGCAAGACCACGTCGTTGTCGGGGTCGGTTCTGAAGGCCACGAGGGAGAATCTGTTCTGTCTCTTACCTGGTTTTGATGGTTTTCCGGCAATCTTTGGTTCCCTTGAATTGTAGATACGTCGCTTTGATCCCCGCCTTCGTCTTCACAGGACGGTTTCCGCCCCCTCCCTCCCTCCTGTGTGTGTATCTTTGTGTCCAAAGTTCCCCTTTTTACAAGGACTTTAGTCCTTTTGGATTAGGCCTTCTACTGGCCTCATTTTAACTTGATTGCCTCTACAAGCTGCTGACTCCAAAGAAGGTCATATTCTGGAGTCCTGGAGGTTAGAACTCCAACATATCTGCAACATATTTTTGTGGGGACACAATTCCATCCCTAACAGTGGTAAATAAACTGAGTAATACAGGCCGGGCGCGGTGGCTCATGCCTGTAATCCCAGCACTTTGGGAGGCCAAGGCGGGCAGATCACAAGATCAGGAGATCAAGACCATCTGGCTAACACAGTGAAACCCCATCTCTACTAAAAATACAAAAAATTAACTGGGTGTTGTGGCGGGTGCCTGTAGTCCCAGCTACTCCTGAGGCTGAGGCAGGAGAATCGCTTGAATGGGAGGCGGAGGTTGCAGTGAGCCGAGATGACGCCACTGCACTCCAGCCTGGGTGTCAGAGCCAGACTCTGTCTCCAAATAAATAAATAAATAAATAAATAAATGGGTAATACAAGACCCCTGCTACCGACAAAGACAGTTGCCACCTGGAACTCTCTTCGCAGATGTCCTACTGGCCCATATTCTCATTTCTTCATGTCTCTGCTCAAATAGCACCTCAATGAGCTCTGGACTACTCGGCCCAAATAACAGTATCCCTCTTGTTTCCGTGCCCGGCTTTAGGTTACATCTTAGCACGTCTTCCTACCTGACATGCTGCATGGTAAATTGGCTGTTTACTGCCTTCTCCACTAGAATGGCAGCTCCATGAGAGCAGAGACCTAGCCTGGTTGTTCATTCAGTGTCTGAAACAAGTCCTGGCAGATGTTAGACTTTTACTGATTGATGGGTGAATGCATGAATAAAATATGGCATTGGCACTACAGGAACGCCAATGAGGGGTCAGGGAAGACTTTCTGGAGAAGGTTACTTTCAAGGCTGGAGGTAGGCCAGGTGTAGTGGCTCACACCTGTAATCTCAGAACTTTGGGAGGTTGAAGTGGGAGGATCACTTGAGTCCTGGAGTTCAAGACCAACCTGGGCAACATCTTGAGACCCTGTCTCTACAAAATAAAATTAGAAAATGAGCCGGGTGTGGTAGTGCATGCCTGCGGTCCTAGATACTAGGGAGGCTGAGGCAAGAGGATCGCTTAAGCCCAGGAGTTCGAGGTTGCAGTGGGCGACGATCATGCCACTGCACTCCAGCCTCAGCAACAGAGTGAGATCTCCATCCCTTCTAGCCCTGCCCCCCCTCAAAAAAAGGCTGGAGGTAGAAAAATCCAGTGTAAAAGGAGAACCACAGCTTACCTTTGTCTGCATCGTGGCAGCCACTTGGGCAAAACTGTTATCTGCTTGGGAAGATGACTCACCTGGGCATCACTGGCTGCCGAGTAATGGACAAAGGTCCCTGTTGGTGTGAACTTTTGACTGCAGCAAGCTTTTAGAGATTAGTCTCTGGCTTTAGCTAAAACCTGAATTGAGAAAAGGCTGACTGAAAGGCTCAGCTTCAAAAAATATATTGAGGGCCAGGCGCAGTGGCTCATGCCTGTAATCCTAGCACTTTGGGAAGCTGAGGTGGGTAGATCACCTGAGGTCAGGAGTTCAAGACCAGCCTGGCCATAATGGTGAAACCCCATCTTTTAAAAATTAAAAATTAAAAAAATTAAAAAAAATATATATATATATATATACATACATATATATTGAAAGAGCTCATACTTGTGTGGTGAGTTGGGGAAGAGGGTAGGGTGAGATTTAGCAC